TTGCCTAGCCTACAAAATCAATTTACAGGCCTCTCTCCTTTCCCTGCTGCAACTGCTCCTCTGGGTGGCAGACCTGGGAAAACAGCCAGGACACTACAATCYTCCACAGGACCTGGCTCATCCTTCTGTAATTAAAAGGGCACATTAATTACAMCACTTGCCCAGAAAAAGATGCACAGCAACTGTCAGTTAGAGAGCACTGCTGCATCCAAAGCCACCAGCAGCATTTTCTTCCCTTCCAAGAAGGGCCCAACATTTAAGCCCTAGCTAGAGCTTGTCTTGTGAACCTAAATATGACTTCAAAGGGAAGGCGAGAAGGGTCGGCAGCTCCTGACCCAAGGAGGAGACAGGGCAGATACATTTCCCCAGAGGCRGCAGCACACAGTCCAAGGGAMGAAAAGGGATTTATTCAAACTCTCYTTCACCCTCTGTCTCCTTCCGTCCTCCTCCTCTGCTGGGGGCTTCTATAGCAAACASTCYAGAAAAGGAGATGAGAAGTAAGCARCACTACCCCAAAGCTCTCCARCATYAGACTGTAGGTGCAGGGGCACCTATTTGTATTTATGGGTTCTATGCTGTGTTCTTGTGACTGCTGCCATATTRAAGCAAAAATCTCATTAAAATAAAGTGGAGACTGCAACCACAAATACTGCCCTATCCCCACCTCCATCCTTCCCTTGACAGACCACTTTTAACCTCAGAGATCATTAAAACAGTACTCCTTCATGCTTTGCTAATTTTCAGCTATTTTCAGAAAGRGAAATAAATATTTGTGGTGAATACATCCAGAGCTCATTTTGGAAGCTCCTTGCAGAGAGGACGCTCTCACTATTGGGCAGCAGCAGATACCCTTGCTATATCCAGCCCTGCCATGCTCTGCAGCAGATCCTGTCCCTCTGCCTCYTTCACTGGACTCTGCACAAATGGGTTTGAAGTTGTTTGTGTCTGCTTATCTGTTTCAGCTGGGCTAGCTTGTTTGTCAGGTGGGCAGTCTGGTGCATGACGTTCRAAAAGGGACAGCAGGAGGATCTGCTTGTCAGGCTGCAGGGATGGAGTCTCACAGCCCTGCTCTTTCCRTGTGTGACAAGCATGTGACAGGTAATATTTATGTAACATCAAACACGGGCTTCTTTTGTAATTCCAGATTTCCTGCAATCATTCATGACTAAGGGAGTAATAACCTATGAAGAAAAGAGGAATAAAACAGACTTGAGAAATGTCACGGAGGTCATGTGCACTGTTACTGCATTAGGAGTTGTGGCCCCAGTCCTGCAAAGACTCATGCCCAAGCCTTAAAAGGTGGTGCTGTGAATGGTCCTTCAGGAGTCAAAACAACACAAAGTGAGCAAAACTGCAAGGATTGGCCAAAACAAGGCAGCAGTGCTTTCAGGCTGCAGTCCACCAAGAGTAGGAGCATTTTTAAAAAGTTGTTTGCAACAACTTTTAACACCTTGAGCCACTATCTTGGCTTTTGTGTTTAGGTTCTTTCATGATATAACAGTAAAAAATGCCAGAACAAATGCCAGAAATTCATGTATTCATTGCATAAATTCTCATGCTTGAATACATTCACAGTCAAAATGAATTGTAAATGCCAATGTAGTAAATGACAGATTTATGCTTACATGGATATTTCTAAATGTATTTGGGCTGTGTCACTCAGCCCTCCTCACTGAGAATTGCAGAGAAGAGGGGAAGAAAAAAGAAAGAAAAAAGAAAAAATAAATAATTGTGGTGAAGCACACAACCAATGATAGAATCAGATTTGTCTTAAAAAAAAAAAACAACCCTTCAAAAACAGCCTTAAAAACCCTCAGGCAAATGYTCACAGAATGACCCTGCTAGCTTCAAGCCTCTGCAGTTGAACACCATTTTTAGTTACTTTTCTCCTGTGAAAAGTTAGTGCCTTCTTCTTTGATAAACACATCAGAATGTATTTGGTGTAACCAATAATATAAATTCCCTTGCCCCTTGCAGCTTGTCTGGGCTCTGACTGTTTGGAGGTTGAGGAGAAAATACACAGTGGATTGTCTGGCTGAAGGAGTCACAGCAAGTCTGTCCCTGCCATTTGCTAAGCTCTGGCCACGAGTGTTCCTTGTCAGCTTCTCATAACATGTCTTCACACTGCTTTGCCATACTCTTTCTATTTCTATTAGGATTCCTGTTCTTTCCCGGAAACCAAACCTAGGAGAAGCAAGTTACCACCAAAGAAGAAGTTACCACCAAACCTAGGAGAAGCAAGTTTGGATTATTCATAACTCCACTTCCGACACACAGTGAATATTATGCCAGTTTATGTGAGAGTGTGGAAAGTAAAAGCTCCCATCACCATGCAAAAGTCCATTTTCTACTGCTTCTCCTAGAGTCAGGGGATAATATTAGGACTCTCCTACTACATGGTTGAACTTTGTCATCTTCAAAGACATTACATTAAGGAAAAGAAAACAAACAGAAAAACCCCAAAATTCAGTAATGTTGGGATCGGATGTTTTGTCTATAAATAAGTCAGCTTTTACATATAGTGTAATTGCCGTTTCTGTCCTGATTCATTAATTATTTATCACCTGGTAATAACATCTTARTTTACCAYKGCATTAGCAATTCTAGATGCTACGGTCCCCTCTTCCAGCAGAAGAAATATGGAGCAGCTCCCTTACTTTAACCAATCCTAACAGACACACCATACACTAAATTGTAGCACTGCAATGGTCTCAAATTTTCTTATCTTTTGTATTTATCTCTGTATATTTTTCTCACTAAGAAAATATTTTCAACTGTTGGGATTTCTACTTACCTTTCATGCAAAATAATAAAATAACTCCCTTTATCCATGTGAAAGATACTTTTGCTCCTTCATCTTGAAGTTTCCAGTTCACCTCATTTCTCTTATTTAGCTTTAATTCTTCATTAAAGTACACAGGGTGAAAGAAGGAGATAGCTTTAATACAGCTTTTCTACTGTTAAATAGCTATCTTATTCCCTCTTTCAAAAAACCCTAAACAAAACAACTACTGAAGTGGCAAAATGACAGCAACCAGTAGGCAATGGGAAGTGTTAGAGGCAACTCAGACCTAATGTCCATCATGTGCTTTTTGTTCTGGTGTTCCCCTTAAAAGCTGTTGGGTTGAAGGTGAGTCATCCTTCATCGGATTGCTTTCTCCCCCTGCTTTAAGAGGGTTTTACTTACACCAGAAAATGTTTATTGTAAAAAGAAAAAAAAAAACCAACCCACCAAAAGAACAACCAAACAACCCCACCCCCAACCAAACAACTGTTATACATCCAATGCAAATGTGCCAAACTCTGAGAAGTGCCACCTTGGTTTTCGTTTTTCTGGGATTTAAGCAGTTGTGAGTGGAACAGCTGCATATCTGTAAGTCCGGGGCAGGTGGCCCCAATCAGACACTTGCCACTCACAACCACAGAGCTGAAAAATCTGTGCAATTCCTTAATAGTCCAAAAATGTTTGTGAGTTCCAGTTTCTTCTCCTTTTAGTTTTCTATAATACAAAGTAAAAATCCAGTTCAAAACTGCTGAGTAGCTTTCTCCTGTTTGCATTCAAGAAACAGCTTTCACTGCCATAAAAAACATTCACACCACAAAAAAAAACTCCAAAATTTCCTCTGCTCCCTGTATGAAGGCCAGTGGTTTTGCATCAACATCCATGAAGTCATTTGACTCTTTCAGAGTAGTCTGGCTGCAGATCTGGGTGTGGGGTCTGCTTAAATAGAAGTTCAATGTCTTTGGCTCTCCTCTTCCAACAGAAGTACTTTCCGAAATAAGTCTAAAAGTATCGCCCTTGCAAGGCCAGGTCCTTTTAAATCCCGTTGTCTTTCCCCGAGCAGCAGGGCCACGTTGGGCTTGGAAAAGGGCAAGGGGGGATCTGAGAGTCTTTGAGTCAGCACATCAGCTCAGAAGGGATCCACCACAGAAGGAGTAACGGCGAGCTGCAAACCAAGATCAGAAGCTGTTACAAACTGACCCGATTTCAGCTCTGAATGCTTAACAGGTAGAGAGCTACAGGGGAAGAAGAGTGAAGGACAGCTCTAAAACCAGTACAGATCCTTGCTTTTATCCTGAGGTTGCAAACCTGAGAACGGAGAGAAGAAAAAAAAAAAGGGAGAAGAAAAATAGGTACAGGCATTTAAGGACAGAGGAAAACAAATTKCATTTCTTTCCAGCTGATATCAGTCTAAAGCATGGGCTCTCCAGAGCCCCAGAAGGCTGTGAAACAAGGAGGAGAGCCCAAGCCAGACTGGAGATGGGCACACAACCCTTCTGCTAAAACTGAGGATGCCRTAAGGAGCCATTAGTGGCTGCAATAATGAAACCAGCATGGAGCAGACTTCCCTTGCCTTTCCTTGCCCCTGACTGAAGATCTGTCGCTGCTGGCTGTGTTTGTGTACCCATTTTTGTCAGCACTACAGTCACGGCCTTGGTTCCAGACACCCCACCAGGCATTACCAGGGGAAAACCAAAAAAGCCTTTTTTGCTCAGCGAATGAAATTGTGCTTTCATCTCAAAAATTGGAAGGAAAAGGTAAATAAGAGGAGATAGTTCATGAATCTACATGGTATCTAGCAATGAACCTTCAGGGCAACATATGGATGGAGACAAGCAGTGACTTTTGGGGCTGCTCCATTCTCTCCCAGCCCTTGCTGCTCAGTGCAGGAGCAAGACCAGGGCCAGAACAAGAGTACCTCAAAGCAACCAGTGCCCTCAGGACATGTTTGAGGGCATCAGAAATTCAAATAATATTGTGGAGATGTGATATGTTGTCTCTCCCATTCTCCCTCTCCATTCCTCACTTGCCTGGCCCAAGAGCTCCAAGAAGAGCACTCAGGGCAGAGCTCAGGTGTCACACACGGGACTTCCACCCTCGCTTCATTCCCCCACGGCACARCCTCAGCCACCTCCCATGGAGAGTCCTTCCCTAAAGCTCTGGACGGTGTGGAGTCAGGGAGCAGGGGTGCAGCTGAGCCGGGAGCCTGCAGGGAGCGAGGGCAGCTCATTACCTGTGTCCACATTGAGGCCGATGCTCTGCGCCATGTCCCCCGTCGCATTGGGGAAGGGGCCTGGCGTCGTCCATGCCGCAGCGGCGCCCGCCTCGCTCTTGCCCAGTTCGCAGGGCGGACTGACCGGCGTGGACACCGAGGCGGGGGTGAGGCGGTGGGGCCGGACGGAGGCGGTGGGCACCAGGAGCGAGCCGTAGCGGGGGTCGAAGTGGGGCCCGTAGACCTCATGCATGGCGGCGGGGCGGGGGTAGGCCGTGCTCTGTGTCCCGATGTAGGGGTGGTGGTGGTGGTGGTGGTGATGGTGGTGAGCGTGGTGCCAGGGCTCGGGGCCGCCCTGGTGCAGGTGGCCGTGCAGGGAGGCGGGCGCGTAGGGGTCGGTGGCAGCGGCGAAGGGCAGCTCRCTGTGGGCTGCGGCTGCCAGGGGGCTGCTCAGGCTGGCCGGCACCGAGGAGGGCTGGTACGTGCTGTTCCARAAGGACGGCGGGAAGATGCGCTGGCTCATTGGGAAGGAACCATCTGGGTGAAAGAAATGGGAAAGAAAGTCGATGATGAGCACACCCCACAAACCCTGATCTCCTTTCCCTAGGGCTCTGTCCCTCCCACTTCCACCCAAACCTGCYCATTCATTCCCTTTATTCCATGAAAAACTGCTGAACTCAAGAACTTGCTCCAAACAAATACAGATCCCTCTCCAGCTAAACATCCAGCACACCTAGCCTATGGCTTATCCATGACACTGCAACTATTTGCTCCAGGTTTCTCTTAGAATGTAGACAGGGAAAAAGGTTGTTATCTAAGGTCAGAGAAAAATCTCTTTTCTTCAGTGGTGGAAACAGAGTGAGAGCTATAATACACCACTGCAAATTTTCAGGACTGGGTTTTTCTTGTTTGTTTTCRTAACAATCTCCTTGTCTAAGCATTTATGCCCAACACTTCCAGAAAAGCGGCTTTTGCATCAGTGCAGTTGCAAAGTGGGCAGGAMCAGTGAGAGATGTGACTAAAGGCAAGCTTGAATCACCCAGATATCTGAGGGCAATTTTTCATCTATTAGACCAGACTCATGCCTGTTTCTTAGGTTTCTTAGGTCAACAAGTTTGGGAAGCCCTGTGCAGATCTTTGGAGATTGGCAGGGCAAAGAATAAAGACCCTACATTTTCTTAGCTCAGTGAGCAACATGCTAGGTGCACTAGTGATTATTAATTGCACAAATAGATGTTATGCATGATTAATTGGAAATGCACACTGTTTCTGAAGGAAATAAAACCATGTTCCTAATAATTCTTTGCCAGGAAACTGTGTCAGCTCTGAGGCTTGACATTACTTGGGGGAAGCGGAAGCAGTTCATGATGAGCAAAACTATCTCCTCTCCTGCCATCAGTTCCAACACTGAATATCTCTCACCCATGAAATATTCTTAGACACTGCATACAGMAATTCATTCAGGAACTGGGAAACCAGCCTTGGCCGAGCAGGTGGCCCTGTGGGGGTTACCAAGCTACAAGAGAAGGCTACCAGGGCTGCCCACAAGGAAGAGCCAGCTCTAACTCCCTGGCAGATGGAGTGTGTGGAAAGTTGTCCCCCTTTGCCCTAAGTACCCTCGTGGACCTGTCCAGTGTGAATCAGGCATGGATACAGAGACCKGKGCATAAGCCATGGCTTGGCCTTGAYAGCATGTGGCCATCGCCAGGTCTGGAAGCCCTCATTTTAAGAATTTTAAGAATCCTTGTCAATGCTCCAGAAGCAATCAGATGGTGATAAATGCAGGGCAAGACAGGGATACACACAATCATTATTTTTAGAGGTGGGAAGYTGAGGAGATGGTTCCCACGTTTGCTTTTTGCTTTGCTCCCATCACTATGACCACTCCAAACCGAAGGCTAGGGTCCACAGGGAATGCACTGGCCACAGTCACAGTGTGAGGGGTCACTGCCGCTAGTTTGGTGGTAGCTTCCACCAGGTAAAGCACCTGCAGTACAAAGGCAATTCGTTTCCCCTGACCACCAAGGCAGCTTCCCCCCGGGCCACGGCAGCCCGGCATAATCTGAAGGGCTTTATTCTTTCCTTTTGTCCCCTAGAAGGGCCAAGCAGCTGGCAGCTGGGATCCCAGGGGATGCCCGCCGGGCAGCAGCCGCTAGCGGGAGGCAGGAGGGAGCCGATATTGCCGGTCGAGGCGGGGGCGAGGTGCCGGCCCGGAGGGGGTCTCCGCCGTCCCCCGCACCCCCGCTCCGCGCTGGGCGCTCACCCCGCCAGGAGCCCGCGTTCCGCGCCGCCTTCGCGCTGCCGAGGGAGAAGCTGCTGGGCTGGCTGAGSGCCCGGCTGAAGTGCTCGTCCACCACGGCGCTGATGTCCCCCTGGAAGTAGGTGAAGAGGACACAGCGGGAGCTGATGTACTCGGCCTCGGGGGGTCGCTCCTTCTCGGGGCTGCAGTCCTCCTCCTTGATGCTGGCCGCGGGGTGGCTGGAGAAGGAGCTGCCGGCGCCGCTGCCGCTCTCCGGGGCTTCTTGCATTTTGGAGTAAAAGGCRAGTTTCTGTAGAGCAGGAAAGAAAAGGGAGCCGGTCACGCAGCACATCAAGATGCGTTGGCCCGCTCTGGGCCAGCCGGCGTGCAGCGCCGAGCCCGCTCCCGAGGTCTTTCCCAGAGGATGCAAAAGTCTGGTCCTCGGCTGCCCGCGGTTCCCTTAGCACACAGCGCAACCCCCAACCCCCGCCCCCATTTCCCTCCCTGTAGTCCGAGGGCAGCGAAGGGGCTGCATATAGAGCTCAGGGCCCGAAACCCACAAGTGTCGGTCGGGATGGAGCAAGACAGTCGCAGGGTGGGGAAGACGCGGCCGGGCGGGGGTCACACCACCGGGTCCCCCGCACCAAGCCCCGCACAAGAAGGCCCTTTGGAGCTGGCTCCGGAGCGGACGGCAATGCCAAGGGGCTGCAATGCGGGGGCACCGACKCGGGGTACGGACAGGGGGCACGGCCGGGAGATGGCCGGGCACCCACGGACCAGCGCCGGCAGCTGAAGAAGGAGAGAACCACTCGGTCCCTGGCTCGGAAAATGTAACACACAGCGGCGAGGGAGAAGGAAAGAGTGGGGAAAAAGACTGGCAATCTCGAACACATTTCAGGGCAAAACTCAGCATTTCCCTGGACAGCAGAAAGCTCCAGATATTTACTACAAGATTATTCTGGTTTTACTGCACTTAGCCGAGTGAGAAAACAGCGAGAGTTGAGAAGTTTGCGGGATGTTTCCCGTCTTTATGAGCCTTAGCGTGTCTGCAGCTGCTGKGAGTTTCTTAGCAATAAGCCCGGGGACGCGGAGCCCGGGCTTGGCCTCTGCGGGCAGTCTTGGGGCTGCSGGCACCGAGGGGACTCTTGGGCCAAGACGCGAGATATATTTAATAGTGTCACTTGTCGCGCCGACCGTCTTTCCGCTTGGCTCACTCTTCGGCCATTGAGGTAATGATCACCCCCTTAATAACGTCGTAAGCCGTGTGCCGGGGGCTGATGGCGTGGTGGGAGGGCAGGCAAAGTGGGAGAAGACATCATCTGCTATTTGCGACGGRTACTGGGCTCCGCTGCCGGGCTCTGGAAGCGGCACAGGGACCACCACGCCGCTGGCCCCGGCCCGGCACTGCACGGCGGGGGTTGCACCCACTTCGGCCCGGGGTGCTCTTCTCTATATCCATCCCCTTTTTCGTTATCGTGGCGGGGGGAAGAAATTAATTTCTGGAAGGAGTAAGGGGGAGGGAGAAACTGGGAACTCAGCGGGGCAAAAGGAAAGCGGTGTGCAGCAGGTGCAGCCCGGGGAGGCGAGCCTGACCCACGCGGGACCGTGCGCGTCCCGGCGCCAGCAGAATCCCGCGCACCACGGGCAGTGAGTGCTCGAAACATCCCCGCGGCCGCAGGGACCCTTTTATTGAAACTTCGGGATTAGTTGTTACCCGCAACCGCCCGGGMGGAGCTACACGCGGTGAGGCACCGAGACGTGGCTCCAGCCCACGAAGCATCCGCGGGTTTCGCTGGCTGCGCAAGCCGCCTGCAGCCCGGGGGTTGGGGGACGGGCCGGGGTCCCGCCGCCGCCGAGAGMGCCCCGGGAGCGGGGAGCATCCTGCAGCTCCTTGCTCCCCTTCGCGGCCGGGGTTTCTTCCTCCATTCCAAACTGGGAAAACCCCGCAACCTCCTGGCTCTCTCGCCTCCCCCACTTCCACAGCGTAACTACKGTGTACCCCTCTGAGGGGGCTGTAAAATCTCCCACCAAGCGGCTTCCGCGGCAGCCGCCGGGATGCCGGCGTGCAGGGGTGAGCTATACCCCGGGAATCCCGGTCTCGCAGTTCCCGACGGTCCCCACACACCGTGGACATCGCTGCCCCGACCCGCAGCGCTCGGAGGGAGCCCGTCCCAGTTCAGACACCAAACAAACAAACATTTAAAAACAAGCAYAAAAGCAAACAATCCCCTTCAAAATCCCTCTGAGGATTAAAATCGCGCGCAAGGCATCCAGCAGCCCGTCGTTTGCCGCCGGGGTACGTACCCTGCCGAACCCCGCGCCAAGGTGGGATGCGGTTCTGCTCCGCTCACCATCGCAGGCTCCCAGATCTCCCCCCCTCCGCCCCCCTTTTCCCCTCCCCTTCTCCTTTTCCCTTTTTCCTTTTGGTGAGGCCATCCTCCAGACGATACCCCTCCCACCTTCTGCCTCTTCACCGCTGTCCCCTACAMGTACCTGGTGGTAGGGGCTGTAGGCTGCTGCGAAGTAGGGCTGGGGAGGACCGTAGACTTGGTACATAACATCCAAACAGCTCATGGCTGGCCGCAGCCGAGAAGTATTTTTTTTCTCATCAACTCGTGTTCTGCAAAGTGGAGTAATGCTTCGCGGGAGGGAGGTTCCCGGGGGTTAAGAGGCAGCACGCACTGGTGGGAGGAGTGAGGGGGGGATGAGGCAGAGCTGGGCTTCCCTGACACCCCTTCCCTGCCTTCTTTCCCTGCCTCCTGCCCTTCCGATAGCGTGGCTCTCTCCCGCAAATACGGCGGGACTGGAGGGGGTCCCCGACCGCCGGGGCAGTTTCTGCTCCGGGACCGGAGAGTGTAGAGGCGGAGGGAGTAGGGAAACCCCCCTTCCACAGCCGGGACTGCCCGGGAACGGCGGGCTGGGTGGTGCGGTGCAGAGGGACGGGCAGCGGCTGCGGGGTGTGAGGGGAAGAGGAGGTCGGCCGGAGATGGGGGTTTAGCCAGCGTGTCAACCCATCTCCCCGTGCTTTTAATTTTATTTCATTTATTTCATTACATTCCGCTTGCGTCCTGTGCCGGGTGCTGCCCCGCGGCCCCCGGGGAAGATGATCCTGCCGCCCCCCACCCGTCGGGTCCCGCTCCTGGCCGGGCGAAGTGGAGCTCCGGGAAAGGCAGGGATCTGGGTGAYGCCCTCCAAAGCCCACCAAGTCCCGCGTCCGCTGGAAAATGCCACCACCAAAACCACTGGACTGAGAGGTCTGATRAACCGAAGGAGGAAAAACCAGCTGCTCTCGAGAAGGAATCGCTCCAGAAACTTYAGAATCATCACAAATCCCTGGAACGGTGATGCTTTTGCATTTAATAGAAACTAAAACAACGCCGAGGGCAAAGTCACGCCAAAACAACAAATTATCGTGAAGGTAAACTGGATTTACTCCCTGGTTTTCTCCTGAGTAYGACACACAAAGTTTTAAATAGGTGAATGTATATTCACTGGTCTTTTCAATGGAGTTGCATAGGAGGTAGATTGTTTTTTAACAGAGATGTACGTTCTCATTTCAACATCAACTCTTTGAAGTGTTCAGCTTCACGGTATGGGTCACAGTTATTGTGAGAAGAGACCCATTTTGTTTTATTTTAAGCACCTCTAAAAAGCAGAAAAARTACMAAAAAAATACAGAAATACTCAGTTTTCAGATGCTGATTGGTCGCAAAGTATTGGGAAAAAATCTAAAAAGAATGAACACTTTGAATTTTGAAGACCTGGAAATATTTAAACTAATCTTAGCAGAAAAACCTCATATTTAAAACTAAGCATTGACTCTATTTTGTTTTTTTCCAAAATGCAGTTTTTATATTCCAAGTGCTAGAAATTGTTCTGAATGCCTGTCATTCACCAAAATCATATTTCAGTGCCTGATGAGCATGTTTCAATGTTTTTTGCACCAGGTGCAAGGTTTAAAATTCATATTTAAGCAAGCATTTTTTCTCCCTATTCTAGTTTGGGAAATTCACTTTTCATGCTAAAATGTAGCTTGAAACACTATGGTTGGGGGTTCTGCTTCTGCATTGCTCCTTCCTCCGTCAGATCAAATTTTGTGTTGGTAGTCAAGGTAAGGAGGGGATGACCTCTGGGTATTAGGCTTTAAAATGAGAAATTTATCTTATACTCTRTAATTTTATATCTCTTGAACAGTAAGCAAGTAGTCACTGTAAAGAGAAGGACTCGCTCTGTGGCTGGTGTCCAAATTAAAGTGTTAGCTAAAGAACAGCTCTTCGCTCGTCACAGCGTGAGACTGAGGAATCTCACTTGGGACAATGGGATCTCACTCCTCCTCCGTGTTTGAGAGAGGTAGGGAGYTTTCCCAGCACACACTGTTCTGTATCTGTTTCAAAGGTAATAGCATGATGGGCAAGGTACCCAAAAAGCCCATTTCTAAGAGGGTAAGTCCAATGAACCCCTGCTCCAAAGACACAGGAAACCTTCCTGCTCTTCGCCAGGGCTCTGTGCCATAGAAAAGGTAGGACCCGACACTTGCCAAGGCTGAGCATTCACTTCTTGTGTGGAAAAACCCAAAGTGGAACAGCAACATGTGCAACTGGCCTGGCTTGTGTACCCTGGAGAACCTCTCCTTGAGGGCTGAATTTAAGGCTTTCACCTTACGCTCAAGTATATGTTAGGGGAATCAGGCCTGATGTGGCTTGGTATGAATTCAGTTTCTTTTATAGACAGTATATTCAACTGTAAATCTGTGCAGTGTAAGACTCGAGTAAACTTCAGTGTCTTAAGGCACTACAAATACAGTGGTGTATACAAAGGCAGAGCAATACAAACATTCATGCAAAAATATTGGCATTATTTTGCCTCTTTAGTGCACTCTCAGAAATTAGTCCTGGTATAGGAAATTATCCTGGAAACCAGGGGTCAGAAACTTTATTCACTAATGATCTCACTGTGTATTTATAATTATGTAAAAATGGTTTTCCTTGGTCTTAACTAAAGAATTTTAGGTGGGTTGAGTCACAWAAGGAACTACAAAAACTTGGAAAGAAACAGCTGAGTTACCTCAGAGAGAAAATTATGACAAGCAATAAAAGAAAGCACACTTTTAGGAAGGACATGGGTTAAGAACTGGCTGTGTACGATTACAGAGCTGCCATGGGCCTAGTCCTGCAGCCACACATTGGTAAATATTTCACAGCAGTAATGTGAAAAGAAAATATTGTTAGGGATAAAGAATGATGGATTCTGCTAAACAGCGAGATGAAGAAAGTTAAAACTTGCCTCAGAAAACACTCTTATAAAGCATGTCAGTGTTTTCTTCTAATTAATGGGGAACTTTTTACAAAACAAGAATTGGGTACTGCTACGTATGGCTTACCAGACAAACAAACAAAATATCAACATTCAGAAAGACTGGGACAAAAACGTAATAGCACTGAGCGCACTGATTGCTCACCTTCCCTGGAAATCCCATATCCAGCGCTAGCCTGCCAGASCCTGGTGTGTGAAGGTTTGAGCATCATATTGAACATCATATTTAATGAAAGGATGAAGTATTTATTATCCAGAAGGAACTTTTCTGGCTTTTCACTTGTACCACATATATCATTCTTGCTGTTCTTCATGTACTTTAGARGCCGAGGGAGACTTTCATTGTTTCCACTAAAGCATGCTTTTCCAAATAGAAGGTACCGTGAGGTGGGTAGAGGATCCAGCCCTCACTACAGTCATTTGTCACTCAGTTTAGCACCCTTCTGCATTTCTAACTTCAGCTTGAGCTGGGTTGGCTTCAGCTCCCAGCTGTTGGTTCATGCAATGGCTCATTTCAGTAATCTAAACAGTCCTTTTGTCTGTAATATTTTCTCTTATGAAAATGATTTTATGTTATATAATAATTTTTTTCCTGCCAAAATTGATGGAGCTCCTTAACTTTCTACTGCAATCCCTCTAATAGTTTTTGTACCTTTTTTATTTGCAACCTATACAATTTTTTCAATATTCTTTTATAAATATTGAGGCAAGAACTTGTTGTTATTCTAACATTTCTTTTGCTGGAGGTGTACACAAAGTAAAACAGCTTCTTTGGAACAGATGCTTATGGCTGTTGGGTTTTTTGCCACAATATAATTTTAAAGACGTCATACCAATGTGCTTTCCCACTGTGATGACCACAGTATTTTCAGTTTTGCWACTACAAGGATGTAAAAAACATGGACTGCTTGGTGGTGAGGAGCTGATGGTACTGGGAAGTTCTGGAATTTCTTCTAAACTCTTACATATCTGACTGAGATTGCAAGTTACTAGGCTGAAAACTGTGATGATCCCATGAGAACCTATGAGCACCTGCTCACGATGCCTTGTACAGTCATCCTTTCTATGACCTTTTCCATCACTTGTCTTCCTTGGTCATAGATGTGCAACACTTCAAACAGCTCCATTCATGTGCTATTTGTTCTTGACAATGCCAAGAGACTCAGCAATGGACTCAGGTATTGCCAAATGTCCCACCTCTCACTTTATCACAGGTATTCTTGTTACTATGCTGCTTGCTAAATTTATTGGTGTGATTTTATTGCAACTTTAAAGTTACATGGTCATCTTGCACAGTTCACAAACTAACTACTATGAATATCGTAGTAGTTCATATGAATATCATAATAGTTCACATATCCAGTGTTCACATACTAAACTACTATGTGGCAGTAGTCATATTTCTAAATAGTAAAGATCTTGTGTTGACTCATTTTGCACAATTCTTGTCCATTTGCTGTGTGTGCAGTGCCTCCTCTATAAGATGATAAATTCAGTTTCAGTCGTCTTCCTATTCCTGCTCTCTACTCTCTAATGCCTCAATCTGCCTGTAGGACTCAGCATACACTTAACTTCTAGCTGAATGCACTACTTGTGGGTTKACATGGGTCAAATTTGGTTGAAATAAGCTAGATAAAGCTGTTCCTCTTTCTTATCTTGTCAGTCTTTGTGTTCCATATCCCTAAAAGCTTTTTTGTTTTTTTTTTAGGGCTTGGCAACTGTTACCATGGTGTAGTCAGGGATGTTTTTGAAGGTCCAGCCTCTGGGTCTGTATTAATGCAGAAGACTTCAGGCTCAAGAGCTGCTGGCTTGGTAGTTTTTGTGGACACTGAATTAACTGACTTTAAAGATCAGTATTATAAATATAGTAAAAGCACAAAGTAAAAATCTGGCGACACATACCACTGACTTCACTGAAGAACCCAGTTTTATTTTGTTTTTCAACCTCAGAGACCTTCTATAGTTAATTTTGACCTTCCTTTGAAGGCGTGATTTTTTTTTCCCTTTTCCTTTCTCCCCCTACACCTCAAAGAATTAACCGCTAGTCGCAAATTAATCACACGTAGGGATACTATTTGGTGTACATTTGTACATGTGACAGCCCGTCTGCTCCAGTGACATGCTGTGCAGCAGCTGGAATGTACGTGGTGMTTTTTACTCCATGATGCATTTCCAGGGGAGCTGCAGCCCAGCTCAGGGAGCAGCATCTGGCGTGTGTCACTCAGCCGTCCTGCCCAACCCTGACGGGCCACAGGCATCAC